GGCTTCCGGAGGCTGAGGCAGTGGGATTCCCACAAGCCAGGAGTCAGAGATTGCAGTGAACTACCAAACTGCTGCACTCTGCTCAGGGGCACAGGGTGGGACTCTGTCTCGACAGAAAAGAAAAAGAAATGAATAGAATTTGGCCAGGTGAGGTGGCTCACTTCTGTAATTCTAGCACCCTGGGAGGCCAAGGCAGGAGGATTGCTTGAGGTCAGGAGTTTTAGACCAGCCTGAGCAAGAGAGAGACCCCCATCTCTATTAAAAATAGAAAAATTAGCTGGGTGTTGTGGTGGGTGCCTGTAGTCTCATCTACTCGGGAGGCTGAGTCAGGAGGATCGCTTGAACCCAGGAGTTTGAAGTTGTTATAAGGTAGGCTGAGGCCATGACATGCCTGGGGCAACAGAGACAGAGTGAGACTCTATCTCAAAAAATAGAGAAAGAAATAGAATTTTCCAGGAAGACAAGGGATGGAGGAGGGTTGACAAGAGGGAATGGTATGTGTGAAGCCACGTAGGTGATAAATGACATTTACAATTCTAAGAAGCCATTTTATATGGCTAGCGCATGCTATATTTTTTTTTCCAATTGCTGCTGTATCATTATCAAAACTAATGCCATGAAACAACACGTATTTATTCTTTTGTAGTTCTAGAGACTAAAGATGTGAAATAGGCCCCGCTAGGCTTCAACTCTTGGCAGGCTGTGTTCCTTCTGGAGACTCTTGTTCCTTGCTTTTTCTAGCTCTAGAAGTTACCTGCATTCCTTGGCTTGTGGCCCTGTCCTCCATCTTCAAAGCCAGCTGTATGGCATCTTTATATTTCTCTCTACCTCTGACCTCCTCTTCTACATTTAAAGGACTCTTGTGATTACATTGGGCCCACATGGATAAGCCAGGATCCTTTCTTTATATTAAGGTCAACTGATTAGCAGCCTGACTCCTATCTAAAATTCTAATTCCCCCATGCCATGTAATAGAACATAGTCACAGGTTCTGTTACAGAACAGGTGCCAGGGATTAGGATATGGACATCTTCAGGGGTCCTTTATCCTGCCAACAGCACATGCAATGCAAGAAGTTGAGGGTGATGGTGACGAGAAAGGTTGATGTGACCCATCATCCACCCAAGGGGAGGCTATCATCAGATATATTTTAAAAACTGGAAGAGTCGAGATATTTTTAAAAATGGAAGAGTGGAGATTCTCCTAAGGTATAATGAGTATGTTTCCATTACCTATTTATAGCAAAGCGTCTTAAACCTTAGTGCCTTAAAACAATAATGATTTGTTATTTCTCATGATTCTGTGGCTTGGCTGTGTGATTCCCTTGCTAGTCACCCAGGCTCATTCATAAATCTACATTCAAGTGAAGAGTTGGAAGGTCTAGAAAGTCCAAAAGTGGCTTCAGGTTCAGTGATACATAAATGGGGCTGCCTCCGTTATTTTCAATGTGAATTCTCATCCTCTGCTGGGCTAGATCAGCAGCCTCAGGGCAGAATTCCAACAGCATGAAAGTGGAATTGCAGGGCCTCTGGAAGCCTAGACTCTGGAACCTGAATAAGAAGCATCACCTCTATCATATTCCCTTGGGCCAAGCAGTCACAAGCCTATCATAAGTTCAAGAGGAAGAGGAATAGATTCCACCTCCTGATGGGAGCTGCTGCAGTGGTGTCATTTCATCTAGCACATGCTATAAAGATAAGAGCTTGGTTCTGAGAATGGAATTACGAAATTTAAGATATCAGAGATAAAATGTGTCTAGATGACAACAATATCCAGCACGTATCCAACAAGAGGAATGGCTTAAGTAGAGTGTGGTGGTGAAGAGCACTGGCTTTGAAGACAAGGAGGAATTCTAAGGCCAGGATGTGGGATGCATCATCCTGTGGACACAACAAGAACCCTGAGTTGGCAGGATATTTGGAAGAGTGGCCTGAAGTCCACAAAATGACAGTGAAGATAGCGGGGCAGGTAAGGGATAACCAGACCAGAGGTGATTCTGCAGAGCATGAAGGTCATTCCCAGTCAGCCTTGTGAATGGATGGTAGGCACCCAGAGCCACCTCACCACGCCCTTCCTTTCCCAGCCCCTGCATCATCTTGTGCAGTTTCTGGTTTTCAAATAAACCGACCACTTCTGACTTCCAGGGGGTATGCACGTACATTCTTCAGTTAACACTTTAACTATTGGCACCCATGTCCTGAAAAGTCCATGAGAGCTTCGCTTAAAGTTCAAGTCCATTGTGAATAAGGAGATGACAGAGTCGCCATAGTAGAAGGTTCCCAGCTTCTGTTCTCTCAGGCTTTTCTTTTTTCTACCTTCTTTGTCTCCATAGGCGTGTGTCTCAGGGGGGAAAAAGGTGTTCACATAGATCAGTAGCATTTATGGTGACAATATTTATTAACAGCATTCAATGGATAATATTTATTATCCTCATTCTAGGTAAATAAAAATCAGAAACCAGATAGTCATTATCCAGATGGTCCTAAGAGCTCACTCAACCATAAGAGTGCTAGATATGAATAAATTAGAGCCTGTAACAAGTGGAAAGGGATAAAATTGCATATTTTTATAATTACTACCATAATTTAATGTTTATTTGTTTATGTGTAACAAATGAACAACTGATTTACAACAGTACAAGTGCAGCATGAGTTTACATCTTTGGCTCCAATTTCACATCCTTAAAATGCCTTTTAGAGTACCACAAAAGAATTTTTCTACCCCCAGTAGAAGATTTTTAGTATTTGGAAATTGAGCAAATGTTTCCTGGAAGTTTCCTATCTGCAGCAAGTGCTCTGGGCTATGAATATTTAATTCTGCCCAGTCTTTTATTTTCCCTTACTTATTATCCCCTTTGCACAGGTTCAGCACCTTGACAGACACTCTGGTCTTCTGCAGATTGCCAGGGATTAGATGACCCAGAGATGTTATTCTCACTTTTGACACAGAAATTCTTTTTTCGGACTCTGCATGAAATGTGTCTAAAAATAGGTGAAGTAATGATAGTTTTTGTAATCATAGCCTTGATATAACTAGGAAGGCTTCTGTTCCTCTCAGAGTGCTCTTCCTAAAAGCTACACAGCTATTCCATTAATGCTGCCCCGTGCTTCAAATTATTTAGAGGATTCTTCACTTAGGGGGTGGGGCTGTTATCAGAGCAGGTGTGCAACCCTATTAAAAAAAAAAAAAACAGTTCTGTATATTTTTAACGTCTTGTCAATTTTGACTAAGTCCAGAAAATTCCCTCAAATTGTAAGGATTGGCTCTCTATGATGTTTATCAAAAAAATAAAATTCACTCTCCAAAGAGTAAGGTTTTAGATCACTTAAGATAGTCAAAATAATGTACCTTGGGTTCTAAAGTTGTGAGGCTGCAAATGGGGCCTGTTTTTCTGATTGGGGCTATGCTATGCTACTGTCCCCACACATTTGTCAAAGAGTGTTAAGAAGTGTTACCATTTGTATCTGGAAGCTAGAAATACCACATTAAAAATATTTTATCCCACCTTTCCAACTCTATTTTAGTTAACTCTGACCTCTTCCCCACCACTTTCTCAACACTTTTTTTTTTAACTTCTTTGCTTAAGATCAGCTCTGCGCCATCTGTATTTCTGTTCTTCAGTTTTCAATGAGTTATCCTTGGTTAGCTCTTCTAAATTTTATCCTTTTTAAAGGCCTTTGTCACTGTTAAGTTTACGAGTTTGCATCTGATCCTGGCCTCCCACCTGGCTCAGTGTCGTCCAGAGGCATCCATCTTCAGCACTATGATTCTGATGTCTGCAACCATCAGTGTGTCTCAGGAACTGTACCAGGGACTTAAAACATTAATTCACTTAATCCTCAAAACAGACTTAGGAGTTGAGTATTATTATAATTCCCACTTTACAGATGAAGACACTAAGCCAGTGCAAACAACTTGGCCAAATTCATAGGAGTAGAAAGTGGGGGAGCTAGGATTCAGACTCCCATCCATCTAAGGGAAGAGTTTCTCAACCTCAGCACTGTAACAAGTGGAGCCAGACATTTATTTGTAGTGTGTGCATGTGTGGGATGTGTCTGTCCTGTGCATTGCAGTAGTTTAACACCAGCACCTCTTGCCTTCTACCCACCTGAAGCCAGGGAAGTCCCTTCCCTACTATGTGACAACCAAAAATGTCTCCAGACATTGCCAAATGTTCTTTAGGTTATGTTTGTAAGAACCACTGATCTAAAACCAAATTCATGCTTTTGCCACATTATAATTTTTTTTTTTTAAGAGACAGTGTCTATCTCCCAGGCTGGAGTGGTTCAACAGTAACTCACTGCAACCTTGAATTCCTGGCCTCAAGCTATGCTCCCCTCTTGGCCTCCCAACCTGCTGGATTATAGGCATGAACCACCATGCCCAACCACATTATGCTATTAAACAGAGAACTAATAAAAACCATAGCATTTGAAAGCTAAATTTTAGAAATCAGTTTTAGAATCACCACACCTGATAGTCAGAATTGGAGATTTTTTGATGATTGTCTTTCCCTGCCCAAGATGTTTGCAATCAGCATTTGCCAGGTGGAGAACAGGTATCTGTCTATTTTCATCCTCTCCACGGTGCAGGGACTACAGATCAAATCCTACCCTAACCACACCTCTGTTCCTTGAATCACTACACTCCATTCCTGCCAAATCGTTCTCCAGCCTTGGGTTTAACACCTCCGGTGACGGCGTGACAGTCGGCAATTCCACACTCTTCACTTTCTGAGACAAGTTCACGTTCAGATAGCCCTAGCTGTGAACAAGTATTCTCTTTAATATTCCTCCTTACATTTCTCTGGCTCTGCCCTTAATCTCATGTTATCTAAGTTATCATTTTTCTCCAATCAGTTGAATTCAACAAACACCTATTGAGTCCCAATAGTGTAGTGTTAGGCTCTATCTGAACAATTTCTTTATGGTGCCCCTTAAAATCATTATCAGCTCTTTAAAAATGGCCATCTAATTTTCTTGGTTTAAAAACAGACTTCCATCACTTCTTGGCCTTCTGGATAAGATCAAGTGTAGTGTCTGTTCTTGTTAGTTTAACAATAGGCTTCCTCAGAGGGGTAATTACAATTAATTAAAATTGTAAAATCATACATGGTTGGTCTCCTGTCCAGTTGCTGCCGGTAAGCAGTGTGCTCCCCAGTTTGTGGAGGGCCCCATCCTTGGGGAGGATGACTGTGGACAGCTCTTTCTCTTCCTCTGGACCCCTCATCTTTAAACCTTCTTGGATGGTTGCAGGAAAATTCCAAAGTAGCTCCCTTTCCTGATAAAATCACTCTTTACCATATGCTCCAGATTTCTTGATGAAAATACAGATGGGAAGAAAAAAAAAACTTTTTTAAAATCTTGCTTTATCTGGGACCCTCGTGAGAACATCTTTTTTATGAATCTGATTAATATAAAAAGGGAATAAATATAAGTTAACTTGATTAAATCAAGACCCATACAGTTTATTCTCCTTTGAAGAGAAATAGTCTTTCAGCACTTTGGAGTCTCCTCTAAGTCACCAGAATCATTTTGAGCCTGTAGAGAATTACTTTTCAACAGTCATCAGGTTAATTGGGAGAAAGGCAGCTTATGCACGATGTCAAGGTGAGCCCTACAGGTGACAGGTCTTCCTGGTGGGCCAACACGAGTAGCCAGTGGGCTATGAATGTGTGCCAGCTGTTCTGACAGCACCTGGATGGGGCTCCAGCAGGCAGGTTCTGTTTAGAGAAAACCAAGGAGAAAATAACATGTTAACTGGAATAAACCACTTGGGGTCAAAATAACAGTCTGATGTTTTTGTACTCGTGTGAGATATAAAAAGAAAACTTCAGTTTCCATTTAGGCTTTGGATGAACTTCAAACTTCTTTCCTGTGCTTGGGCACCTCCAAAGAAGTGTCTGGACAGAGGCAAAGCTGCCTGAACACCCCCCCCCCCAATCTTTGCTTGTTCTGCAAGGCCTCGCAGTCTTTTTCTAGTGTGATGTCTTCACTGTGGTCTCCACTCTCTTCTTCCAGAGTTTTATAAATGGAAACTGACATGGACTACGAAAGACCCAACGTTGAAACCATCAAGTGTGTGGTCGTGGGTGACAACGCCGTGGGGAAGACACGCTTGATCTGTGCCAGAGCATGTAACACCACACTGACGCGGTACCAGCTGCTGGCCACGCACGTCCCCACCGTGTGGGCGATTGACCAGTACCGTGTCTGCCAGGAGGTGAGATGTACAGCATGTCTTCAGAATTCTTGAGGCATATCGTTCCTCTTTGCCAGTCTGATGCTTAAAAAAGGAGGAGGGTGGGTAAATTGCACATTTCAAAGCAAACCTAAGCTTTTTAGTGCCACAAGCGAAAACAAAGGCATACCTCGAAGTGTGACTCTTGTATCTTGAATGGGGGTTTGAGTCATGTGATTCTAGGAAGAGAATTAGGACTTAAGTCCCACGAGATGGAATAAGTAAGAGAATTAAATGTAAATGAGTTGAGGGCATTAAAGGGTGTTGGCTTAGACACACTGTCCTGGGAGCCTCTGATTGTCACGACTGCTCACTCTCTCCCACAGGTATTGGAACGTTCCCGGGATGTTGTGGATGAAGTGAGTGTTTCTCTCAGGCTTTGGGACACTTTCGGGGATCATCACAAAGACAGACGTTTTGCATATGGCAGGTAAAGCAAGACCAGTGTGCACCGTTGAGCTTTGAGCATAATTTCCTTTTCAAAACCAGCAACTGGTTCCTAAATGAAAACAAAAACCTGGCCTCACGTGGCCTTGAAATGTGGTCGGTTCTGCACTGTATCTAAGAAAAGAAAAAAGAAAGTAAAGAACGGTATGGTTTCCTGTTGTCAAAAATAAGCAGGGTCTGCCTTACCACTGAGAAAGAAGCCTGTTTAAAACAACCGGAGCTAGTTAAGCTGGAAAGTTTGCTAGAGGAGGATTTTGTTATGCCCTCCAGCCTTGGGCTGCTTTGACTGCTGGTTTTCTAGACGATACTTCACTTGCCTTCTGTGGGAATGCTTTAAGTTGTTTCAGCACTTGGCCACCTACTTCTGAAGGTCTTTTTGGTCCCTTCGTGACCATGTTAGCAGAGTCCAATGTTATTTGCTTTGTACTTTGTGTTATCTAAAAAGTCTGTTATTTTTGTTTGAAGGTCATTTTTTGAAAGAAAGAAAAATATTTCTTAAGTCCTTCACAAGGGATGTTTTCAAAATGAAATGAAGCACTTACATTTATTTTTATTTAAAGAAAAAATAAGGAGGAAAACATCCAGTAATGGAAAGATTCACAGAAAAGGACGATGATATGGGGAAGCATGGGCAATGTGCCTTAAAACATCTAGCAACTTCTCCTTCTCACTAGAACTTAAGGTCTCTCCAGTGAAGAGAGCTATTAAAACCCGGAAAAGGAGAGATTCTTTCTCTTACTGCTTAATTGTTAAGTCAGCACATTTTGTTTTAAGCTTAGAATTTAAGTGTGACAGCTTAGTAGCAGTGCCAACAGCATGGTACCCTGACAGGATTGGATGAGTTACATACTTGGTATTGAGATAAGCGTTTCCGAAAGTTCCTCTTTCTTCAAGCTCTGAACATTTATCGGCAGTTAGGGAAGTGATCTGAAATACTAAGGAAACTGCTGAAAGGGTTTGCCCTGTTCCTGAGAAGTGGCGCACACTGAAAAAAATCTGCCATTTAGACTCATTTTTTTTTTCCCAAAGGGAACTCAGGAAAAGGTTTAAGGAAGCAAAACAAGATTTTAATGTCCCCTTGGTAACAAGGCCTTTTGAACTTAATATCCAGCCCCATAGATACTTTTCTCTCCTCCTGGGGTTTCCTTTATTTTTCCATAATGTTCTTGATTGTTTTCTTAGTTTCCATTTTGGTTTTCTCTTTGGTCCAACTGTTTATACTATTTACAAAAATAATAATAAGTGAACCTGCTGGTAAATAGCACCTGAACCTGGTGCAGTCAGGGCTGTCGTATCCGTGGTCTGAAGGAAGCGTGATTTTAAAATGGTGACTTTATGCAATGGAAGGATAGATGCAGTCGATTCCAAAGGGGTTTTGGCATCCCCACTTCTACAAAGGCTAACATTTTTGGGGCCTGACGTCCAGCTCACTGAGGTACTTGGGTTTAGACTCGTAGGCTATTTCACCAGCTCCGTGGTTTGTTGCTACTTGAAATGCATGCATTTGACACAGGGAATTTTAATAGTGTATGATGTGAGATTCCTGCTTAGCATCTATTTGATGGTATGGTGGCCTTCATAGATCTACTCTGGGCCTTGTGCAGCCCCCTAACATAACTGGAGTCATCGTACAGCACATCACGCCTACATTTGTTCCCTCCCAACAAAAATAAGCTGCTCTTTCCTGTGACTCCATCAGTTCAAAGTGCATTGTTCATGCTCTGCTGTCTGTGGTGTTTGGTTCTGCCACTGTGACCGGTTCCCCTTTTGATGGAAACAGGAAGTGCTCCCCAAGCCTATTTTGATCCTCCAAGTGGCGCGGAGGGGCTTCAGCAAACACTCCTGCATCCTCGGCCTCATTCTCCCCGCAGCCTCACTTTGCGTACAGGTTTGTACCTTGGATTTCCTTGGCTGTTTCCAGTGCCCCACAGCCTCCAGGGGTCCTGCCACAGCCCCCACCGCCTGTAAGGAACAAAAGCCAGAGCTACTGTCTCTCGGACCCCAGCATCTTTCTGTAATACAAGATAGACTCCAAATCATATCACACCGATGCCACAGCAAAAAGTTACACATTGGGAGAAACTCTGCAGGCAGTAGTTCCTTTATTCAGTGTAGGGCCCTGACCAGTGCATTTCATTACTCTGAAAACTGTTTAATTTCTTCTGTTTTTAGCCTTTTTTTTTTTTTTACCATCTATGAAGGGTAAAAGTTATAGTTTCTGACAATCAGTTGGGTTTGCAAACCTGTTTTTTGATTGATGTTTTTACTATACTTGGTATGAATTATAAGTCAGTGGGATGTTCACAGACATAAACTTTAAGGCATGTGGAATATATTCCCTATCCTTGGAAATATATTTGAAACCTTTGTCAAATAATTAACTTGATTCTTGTGGTGACAGTGAGAGAAACCAGATTTGTATTGAGATTCAGCTTGCCTTTGGTTTCCTTTGCTTCTTAGCAAAAAGGTGGTTAATAAGTTGCCCCCTCAGACATTCTTTGGCACAGACAAACTCTGCTTTGCAGGGTAGATTCCATGGGTCACAAGAGTGTCAGTGGAAGGCAGTTTGCCAACTTGAATTTGCAATTTTTCTGGTGTGGTATAACTATAACCAGAAAGCCATTGCGTCCTTACCACTTAAAGGAATTATTCAACCCGGGTTTTTTTTTTTTTTCAGCTAACAAGAATGATTGCTCCAATTTATCATAACCTAGTGTGTGCCAGTCAAAGTAATAAACGCTTTGCCAGTATTAGTTAACCCTTTGAGGAACCCTAGGAGGCAGAGATTATCTTCACGCACAATTGAGTGGAGTTGGATTCTTTTGCTACCGTAACTTGTCCAACAGTGAAATTCAAGGTCAGATTCAAACCCAGCTCTGCCCTTCTCCTCACTCCCACTCTTTCCTCTGTGCCAAGCTAGGGTGCAATTGAAACCTACCCCACCATGGTGGGCTGGGCTTCTATTTACTCTTCCCTATCTGCTCTAAGTCCAAAGACTTAGAACCAAAAGGGATCTCAAAGGTCATCTGGTTGACCCCTCTTCTTCTGGAAGGGAAATCATCTATCCACCTAAGAAAAAGCATCCATCAGAACCCTAATATTCCACGGAGATGAAGGGAGCAGAGTAGCATCAGCATGGTAACCCTGCACACATTTGAAGCCCGTCAGACCCTTTCTTCCCTGGAGTGAATGACACCGACTCTCTCGTGGCCTTTCTTCCCAGCACCTACTTTCCATCCACTTTTGGATGAACTTTTGAAGCTCTTTTCTGGATCTTTTAAAATGTCAGGAACAAAGCCATACATAGCAACAGTGACTGTGATCAGCTGCTCTTTTTTGGCAAAGGAAAGAGCCTCTTCTTAAAGGGATATTGCTGAACTCAAGAGTTGTCCTTTGGAACTCTCGTTAGAAGGAAATGTTCACACTTAGAAACCTGGCCTTGAATATGTAGACAAATAGGATGGCTGTGCCTTCAGCAGGACATGTCTGGGACCCTCAGTCCCTCTCCTGTAGTCACACACAAGTAAATATTATAGATTTTATTGTTTTCTTTTCTTGAAAACCTCCTTCATTGATCTGTGTGAGGGTCAGATGACCTTCAGACACTTGATAAAACCAAGGGTAGTGAAGGTGGTGATAGAAGCACTACAGTTTAATCAGAGAGCCCCTTGAGCCAGGCCCATGCTAGGGGCAGGACCTGGCCTGTCCTGCTTCTGCTAGTGCTGAGTCTGCAAAGTCAGCTCCTTTCACGGTTGGGGAGACAGGCACGGAAAGGGGCCACGGTCAGATAGTTGGGGAAGAGTGAAGCTGAACTTGCCTCTCCGGTCTGTCTGGCCCCAAAGCCCATGTCTTCCAACTCCACCACGCTGTTGTGGCTGGTGTTGATGATGGATGACAGACGCACTTCTTATTTCCTCCTGGGACAGTCTAAATCCCACACAGTCTCATAGGGACCCTGAAGACCATCTCTCACCAGCTCCACTATTCCCAGGCGCTTCTTAAATTCTTTAATCTGCAGCAAATAATTCTTTACATGAGTCCCTACATAGCTAAACATGAGTCCTTTTATGTTCAGGAAAAAATGACACATCCAAGCAAACTTTTTGAGAGTGAATAAGGATCCTGAGTAATTTCTCTGGTGTGTTCCTCCCTAAAAAATATTTATCTAAAACATTCAGAATTCCTGTATTTGCCCTTATCCCTAAGAGTTCCAGGCATCATTTCAGTCCAATTGGAATATACTTATTATATAGTTTATTATTGTGAACTTGATCTTTCTCAAATTCTGTTACTTCCCATGAGAAGTATAGTACGTGTTTTAGATGACAACATTAATCAGAGCTATGGTTTCTGGGTGTCTGTGTAGGTGAGTCTAGTTTCACACTGAAGTCTCATGTGATCACGTACAGCACGGACAGTTGAGGCCCGTTAGAAAATTCAGGGCTAGAGGGACTGGGGCTTGTGCCTTGGCCTAGGATTAGCTCTGCTTGTGGTTTATGGCAAGGGAACAAAGTAAGGAACAATGAATGTATCTAGTGTTTTCAGTTAGCTGTCATTGTCCATAGCATGTTCTAAAGGGCGGGCCAGGAATAACATCCTGGTGATGATTCCACGATGGCAAACAGCCTGCAGGGCAGCAAAAAATGTCAAGTGGTGCGGTGATGGTTATGTTAGTTAGTCTGATTTAAGCATTCCACATTGTATATCAGATCATCACAGTGTACCCCATAAATGTATACAGTTAGGATTTAATAAAAATTAAGTTTAAAAAATGTCAAGTGGTGCAGTGATGGTTATGTTAGTTAGTCTGATTTAAGCATTCCACATTGTATATCAAATCATCACAGTATGCCCCATAAATGTATACAGTTAGGATTTAATAAAAATTAAGTAAAAAAAAAATACCAAGAGTATATTATAAATGTCTGACTACAAAGAATAAGTAAGTGAGGTGGTGGCTATGGTAATCAGTTTGACTTAAGC